ATTATTATTATTATTATTATTATTATTAATTATTAACTATTGTTATTAATTATTACTATTATTACTATTACTACTGTCATTATTATTATCATTATTATTATTATTACTGTTATTATCATTATTATTATTATTATTCCATGCTAAAAAGCCTCTTCCAAAAGCAAGATATGTTGTTAGCTGCAACTTGGTCCTAAAAATTCAAGCTTAATATAAGCTATTTGGCTTTTGAGATACATTAGGCACGTTATTAAATACTAAAGGCCCAAATACCATGGGTTGCACTTTATCTTTCCATATACTGTAGTATAAGGGAAATGTCAAAGCGATGCCTATTAGCTTTTTTTTTCTTTTCGTTTTAGCTCAGCTACTTACTTCAATCCTATCAATTTCAAAACATCGCACTTCCAAAACTACAAATTCTCAAATTTATGAAAATGAAACTATGAGAAAACTCAAAATTACTAACAAGAAATAAAATGAGATGGAATTTAAAAAAAAATAATCGACAACTGATTTAAATTAATCGAAAAGTTAGCAATACATGTTATCCCCCCTTTATTGTCTTGAACAAATTACCAATATACATAATTAAAAGCAGGCAGAAATTTAGAGGAAAGATGAAAAATTATTCAAAACAAATAAATATCAATCGTTTGCCATATTGTAATAATGACTATAATTGACTGGTTAATTAACAACTTCATAATTGCAGTAAAAAAATGTCTGTTGAAAGAAATCACGAAAAGTTTTAGTGACAAAAAGGAACCGAAAAGGACATAAAATGAAAGATTAATGAGGTGAATTTATAAAATTACTGTACAACTTTTCTTAATTCATAAATCTTTAATCTTTAAGCCACCACCATTGCTACCAATATTATTTATTCGTCCTTCAATTCTTATCCTTAAAAAAAAAGTATTTGCAATAAAGACGAGAATAGTAGTAATAATGACGATAAACGTTTTGTTTATTCAATTCATTCATACAGTTGTGATGGGTAAATTACGAAGATATTTGCCATTTTAGGGTAATAATCATTATTTTGTTCATTATTACTCATCATTCTGATCCTATTTTTCATGTCTCTTCTTCAGTACCATTATTTGAAATACGGGAGCAATAATGAGATACCGTAATCCACGCGTCAATGAATTTTGTGAATTTTTTTTTGTGTTTGTTTATTCTAATCCATTTAATCAAATAATCGTTGATTAATAATTTAACTCATTCCAATAATATCGAAATACTTGAAGAAAGAATTACTCAAAAAACGATATCACTTATATCATAGGAATAGAAATGTTTTTTTTTTGCTGATCTACAATCAAAATTGAAGCAAAAGATTTACCTGTGCTCTTAGTCCAGTAATTAATTAGAATGTATCATGTCTTGACTTGAACGTGTTATAATTAACATATCAAAAGTCATTTGATCATTTAAATTTTGCATATTTAATAATGGAATGAGTAATTTTAACGCTAAACAACTAAGTGGTTAAGAAAAAAAATAATATGATAACGAGATATCGGAGATAATTATCCGAATAATGTCGGATAATTGGGCGTAGATGAAATCTCTGGAAAAAAAAGCGCCAATAATTCAGATGTTACTTATGATTGTATAATAGATACTTTCACCATAATTAGTGATATATGGTTGACATGAATGGATATTATCTTTTGATAAATGCATATTATTAGTGTATTATTAATTAAGGAATAATAGTTGTAATTTTCTCATACATAAATTTATAGTAGCAAAATAAATCAATAATTTCTTTCACTTATAAGAGAAAGGATGTGGAAATTCTAAGCTAATTAACAAAGTTATCTTACCTGTCATCTAATCTAATCGTTTGTAATGAATGATTCATAGATATTTGGATTTATTCTTTTTCAAGTAATTATTGCTTCTTTCCCTTTATATAATGTCACTCTTAGAAAAAAGAATAAATTGAGGGATAAGTGGAAAAGGTACACAGACAGACAGACACACACACACAGAAAGACACGCATAATAGTACAAAATTCTTTTGTGTTTCAAGACCATCCATAGTTAAAGGAGAAATGGAGGATGACGGAGAGAGTGAGGTGTGACAAATCGTATTGTCCCAATGATTGCAGCTTCTTTGTTCCAAAAACCATATTGATTCCAAGCCGACCGACCAACCCACCGACCGGTCCGATCGGCCGACTGACCAAATCGGTTTCTCAAGCAAACTTGAAAGAAAGAAGGGAAAAGTGAACAAGACTGTTTTTCCAATGATTTATTGTTTGTGTATGTGTGTGGCAGCATCAAATAAATGCAGACATGAACATTCCGTATAATTCAAAAAATATGAAATGATGGAAAAAGCTACGTGATAGTACTTCAATACGAAATACAAACACGTGACCTTCACGTAAATAATCAGTGGTATGGTGCAACCTGTTGTATTTACGTACAACTACCATTATCATACGTAGAGTGTATCTGATGGCTTACTGTGTTACATCATTTCTCGTCCTTTACTCTCCTATTCGGTTAACCTATTTAACCATTAAAACTCTAATATTTCACATGGTAATTAGCAAGGAGATCAATTAAGACATTTCAATTACGTGAAAAAAAAGAAACATTAATTTTTATTCACGAAAAAGAGGCATAAAGTACCTTTTCTTTTTGTTAAATCTAATATTTGGATAAAAAGTAATTGAAACAAATGTTGTAATGTGACAACAAGTTGAAGCTATTACTCATTGTCATTTCCGTCGTTTCTTCTTTGAAGTTTAGAATAAATTCAAACATTGACTTGACTTATGTTACAGACTTTATGCATATCTTTCCCACTCATCTTCCCTCCTTCTCTTCCTCTTCTTCTTCCCCTTGTCGCATTACATTTCATTCTATAGATTAAAAAAAAAAAAAAAAGGTAACAGTTGAAGAAGAGGAATGTGGAAAAATGGAAAAAGAAATATTTTAAAGGCCAATGAATAATAAGGATAAATAAAAGACCCAGAATCTAGTAATAAAGGAAGATCGAAATGAAATGACAGCATATTATTTATCGTCGCTCTTCACATCATTGTTGTCATCAATTGTCATCATCGCCGCCAACTCATCACTACTATTATTATCATTATTATTATTGCTATTGTTAATATAACCATCATCATCATCATCATTATCATAATGACATTTAAAACTCATAAATTTAATAAGCAATTTTCGTTTTAAGAAAAACCGTATTTGAATTATTCTTTTAACCTCCCATTACACTCATCAACCGGTTTTTCACTTTATTCTCTTTCGCCTCCTATCTTATCCATATAGGAAATGATTTTTCCGTAATCGGAAAGAAATGCATTCAGGAAATCAAAATATGAAAATAGAAATGAGAGAAAGGTAATGTGATACATCCATCCCTTCCTTTTTTCCGAGAAAAAAGTTTCATCTACATTAATTACTGTGTAAATATCAATATATATATATACATATATATATATATATATACGTGATATTATCAAATGGTGATATCATTTTCAGAGGACTGCAATAATTCCTGATATCAAAGATCATTGTGATCCATTCTACTTCATCAGCCAGTTGGATAAATAGCCAAAAAGTTCAAATTGATGAATGAATTTTTCGCGACAGCATATTTACCAAGTCTTCTATGCCAAGCTTTGTTTAGGATATTTCCGCATATTTTACTCCAAACATTATGAGAAACATCATACGCGTAAGATACGATATAAACAACACTGATATGACAAGATATCAGAAAATATTTTCTCCAAAATATGGAAAGCTTTGCAGGAATTGATCAGAAAACAGGATTAGTTTCAGATTATCAGTACAAACAAGTTCGAGGATCTGAACTAACTCTTTTCAAGACTAAACTTCATTGAAATCAGAAAGCAGCACAAACTTTTGGCCATAGAATCACATCACTAATCATTCACTCATCCTCTTCCTTCATTCATGATTATTACATCCCAAAATTTCCCGCAAAATTTAAAACCTGTTCACCTTTTGAATAAATTTTCACAAAACCTTTTCATCTATCTCTTTTTTTCTCTTATTTCCCTTCCCAATTTATTTTTTCCTCCTGATATGATATGATAGCAAGACTATGTCTATCACTACTGATATGATAGCAACACTTTGTTTATTCACTAAAGGTTATATATTTCAACAAAATGTAAACAAAGAAGCATATCACTCGTATTTTCCATTCCCTTTGTTACTTCCATCCCAAAATTGGAATTATTCTTGTTCGATGAATCATAAAACATTTTAGTTGAGAATTTATAAAAAATAAAGGAAAAAACAGAGGAACAGCGAAGAACGAACTTGAGGACAGTATAATGTGACACACACACATACGCAACACACACACACACACGCGCACACACACACACATACGCACACACACACGCACACACACACACACACAGACATACACACACACACAGAGACAGACACAGACACACACACGCACACAGACATAGACACACACACACAAACTGTATAATACAAACACACGATACATTAAACTAAATTTCTCAACTGTATGAGGATCGCTTTCCTCGAAAATTTATGATTCAAAAAAAGCAACAAATTTGTTTAAATGATTTGAATTTCATAAAATTTTACGAAAGGTCTCCGAATTTGAAATGAATGACATTTAAATTGGGAAAGGAAAAAATTTCTTGTTTCAAATATACAGTGATGGTTATATAATGTTCTATCACATCGTATCATAACAAAATTGCAAATTTAATTCTTGAGAATTGAATTTTGCCCCGTCCTATTTAAATTAATTTTAAGCAAGAATCCCCGGAACTTAATATATAAAATTGCAAAAAAAAGGAAGCAGAGGAGGAAGATATGAAGAGAAGATTGTAATGAATCATTTCACTTTTTTTTCTCGCCCTATTTCAAATTCACTAAAATTATATTTTAAAAACAATAACTTAGTCTGGAATCCTTTTTCTACTCATTTTTGTAAAAGATCAATTCAAAAGTGCAAAAAAAAAAAATGAAATGATTACGATGAGAAAATGTAAGACGATCTTTTTTTTTCTTTTTAAACTTTCAAATAATTTTTTTTTTCTTCAAATTTTTTAGATAGTTTTTCTTCCGTTTTAAACTCTCAAATAATCTTTCATTTTTAATCTGTCAAACTTTTAAATAAAACAGTAAAATAAACAAACAAATTGAATAATACGTATCATATTTGGAAAAAAAAAAACGTACGTCAAATTATACGGCTGATGCAGCTTGTGTTAAAGCTGTTGTGGTACAACATGTATTGCTATTACTATTACTACTATTTGTTACAGGTGATTGTACTGCAACTGCAGCTGCAGCTGCATGCGCCATGACATTTGTCTTCATTGCGTATGCGGCTAATACATTTCGTTGCAAATCATACGGATTGTAAGCAGGCATTAAGCTGAAAGCAAAAGATCAAACAAATTATAAAAAAAAACTTTTCTCCACCCATGAAAGTTTTCATTTTTTTGAATAGTAAAACAAACAAAAAGACTCGTCACATATTTGTAACAAAAAGTTCATGTGAGAATGGAACAGTAGGAGATGAAAAAAATAAATTATTCGTCATGTAATTAACCCAATTAATTATTGCTTCAGAAATTAATCTAATCAAATGCGTACCAAAATTAATTAAGTCAACTATAACATCATTTCATTACAATTTCCATATTACATTTATCACATCCACAATTGTGTCACATTTGTAATATTTATAATTATTAGTTTTAGTTTATTTCGATTTCATTAAATGTCCATAATTATACTACACCACTATACCTATCATATGATATACTACTATACTTACCATATGATAAATGTCACATATCCGGCATATTAATTATGCATAACTCCCACTAATTTTATTCACATATTATTAAACTATTTCAAAATACAGGAATATCTGCTCTCTAACAACTTCATGTCATTTACAGGAACATTAATATCTCCAATGGAATGAAAAATATATTATACCCTTTAAAAGAGTAGTGAAAATAAAGTTAGAAGAGGAAGAAAAAAAAACTTTAATAAATAAGTAACCTGGACTACTAACTCATCATATTTTTATTCTAATAAGTAGAACCAAAACTCAAAAAAAAAACATTTGTGCAATTACCCAGCTGTTGTATTGGTTGGTGCGGTCGGATGAAAAAAGGGTGGATAGTAAGGGAATTCGGTAGCTTTTGATAATGCCGCACTATCAGCGGCAATTTTAGCTGCCATATCAAGAGGATTAATTGATGGATAAAATGGTGTTGCCCGTGATACTGTTTGTTGGCCTAAAATATGCTCAATTTTCGTTTTTAAACTAATCTCTGAAATTGAATAATGAAATGTATTAACAGTCTTATTAATAATAATAGTCTTATGATAAATGTAATCATTATGTAATGATTTTTCTTCACTTTCATCAATGAAAATTGATTAAAGAATTACATGAAATTAATCTACCTAACTGTTTACCATTGTAAGTAATAAGACGAACTTAGCAAATTTGTTGTCGGGAACGCGGTAAATGGCAAGGTGAATCGGTATTTTCTTTCGTTTTGTTACACTTTCGGTTTTCGTCGTGGTCGA